GATACTAAAATTAGATTTATCAAACTCCACTTTCAAGACTCTTTTTGAACATGGCTTATCAAGTTCATACAAAAGTCTTGTCCCATCCTTTTCTACCTCAACACAATTTAGGCCTAAACCCTTGAAAAACTCTTCTTTAAAAGTTTGAAGCACCCTCATTGTGTAGATAGTAATAGTGTATCCCAAAATTCCTCCATGACTAATCAAATTCACAAAGGAACCATTTTTCTTCATCTCATTCTCCTTGACACATATCTTCTATCTTTTGTTCTTATTATTTAATAACTTGAATGAGAGTTAATGAAGTACTCAAATTTTGATGAAAAACACTATTCATACTCTCACTTCTTTGAGTAGATTTCATTCTAGCAAAAAAAAAAAAAATCTACATTCAATGCAATTCACCATTTTTCTTGAGTCTCATTTAACCTATATAGAAACAATAAAGCTTGCAAATTAGCATGGGTAATTAAAAGAAATAAAGCATGCTGATCAAGTCTATTTATTTTTCTCTTTTAACTTGTATTCTTAAAAAATTAAAGCATGGTGGTAAAAAAAAAAAAGTTACAATAAAATATTTATTAAGCCACCCATTATTCTCTAGATTGAAGGTCTTGATTATATCATTCCAAGTAGATTGAAATTCCATTTTATCTAAACAATGACTAAGACACTTATGAAATTTTGAATTGAAATTTAAATTCTCATAAATTCCAACAAAATGTTTCTTCACCTTATTAGAAAGATGCCATAAACATAATCGTTAATGTGATTTAAGGCATACTTTTTTTTCTAGCAATTGCAATTGCTTAATCTTGATTTGTGAAAATACTCTTAGGTTGTCTTCCTCCCATAGCTTCTAAGAATGTCTTGAACAACCAAACAAATGATTCACTAGTCTCAACAAGAAATGCACAACTAAATTAGATGTTCCTCCAATGATGATTAATTCCAACAAAAGGAGTACAACTTTTTAATATTAGTTGGTAGGTTCTCAAGGGTGGTTTAATTGATTAAGAGTTTAAAATTTTAAATTAAAATTTTTTTATTTGAATCTTAACTCAAGTAAAAAGAAGTTTAAGAAAAATATAGGATTATTTCATCTTATATAACTTATCATAAAATATGTATAAAAAAAATACCAATTGGCAGCATGCTAGAAAGCATCAAATTCATTTTTTAAGTCCGTCCCATAAGGGAAGGGTAAAATGTCCAAATCTACCCCAAAAATTAGGTAGGGATGGATATACCTTCAACTAAAAAATAGGTACAAATTTACTTATAAAATTTTAATTTAAACAAATCACTCCAAATTTAATGTATGACATCTGATGACATCAATAATTTGTTAATTTGTTGCACTGTTGATAAGTTTATTGTTAATGAATGATTGATACCATCTAATGTCACATGTTAAATTTGGGGTGATTTATTCAAGTTAAAAATTTTGTGAGTGGATTTGTCTTAGTTTTGTTGTTTGAGAGTGGATCTATTCCTACTCTTTAACTTTGGTGGTGGATTTGGGCATTCTGCCTAAGGGAAGCTTTACTAGTTAATAGCTTAAATTTTTGTGTTAGAGATTTTATGTTTAGATCTTAGGATGGGTGGATCTGTTGGGTTAGCGGTCAACTTTACTAAAAAGTATTATATGAAAAATTGATAAATTTTGTAATGAAAATTAGTTGGAATTTTGTTAAGTTATTAATTTTCTATGTTTGGTAAAAAATTGCCATAGAAAAAAAATAATGCTCTTTTTTGTCTCAAAATAACTGTAAGTTTTTTAATTTTTTCTCTAAATTAAGGATTTAAAGACTATTTGTATTTATTTACAATATCCTTCAAAAGCCAATCACCCATGTAGCCCTAGTGGCCATGCTTCTTTTTGAGAAGCAAAGTGATGACACCCTTCTTGACATGAGATTTGAGTGTTTGGATTGACACTCTTCCATCACCTAAGAGCAAACACTAACATTATCAATGTAATTACCACTTCCAAAATAATAATAATAATAATAATGCCCTTAAAAAAGAAAGAAATAAAATATAGAGAGAATTTTTTGTAATTGAATGATTAATTAACGTGAATGAATAATGGTAGGGTTAAAGTAGGAAAAAAATATTTGTCTACGTTGAAAAATGAAAAAAAGACAATTAATTTGAAACAAACTCAAAGTAAAAAAACGATAATTATTTTTGGGCAAAGGGAGTAAGAAAAATTTCAAGCAGGTTCCACATAAGTTAAGAAAATATTTTCTTTTCAATAAATGTAAAAAAAAAAAAAAAACACTTACTGGCTAAGAATTATATTAGAAAAAATAAGAAATAAAAAAATCAATATCACCATTTTTTATAATTTTAATGTATAAATATATATAAAGAAAACTAAAATAAACTTATTTTTATTTAAAAGTGAGTTATTTTAAAATTTTTAATAAAAATTTATTAAAATAAGTAATTTTAAAGCTTTTTCACTTAATTTTTTTTTAAAAAAAATTAGTAAAAACTCTTCTCATGTGGAGATATAATTAATATTATAAAGAAAAAGGTTACCCCAACCAAATAGTGGTTAAAACCAACATTTAGCCCTTCACTTTACAAAATTAGTAGGTTTTAGCCATAACTTTATAATATGATACTTTTAACCCTTTACCTTATAAAGTTGGTAGGTTTTAACTTCTCACCTTACAAAGTTGGTAGGTTTTAACCCCTCACCTTATATTATGACACTTTTAACCCCTTATCTGTACGAATTGAAGAAAATAACCCTTATTTGACATCAGATTTTAATGTTCTATTAGTTCTATTAGCTGACTATCAGTTCTATTAGCTGACTGTCAGTTCTGTTAGCTGACTGTCAGTTCTATTAGTTGATTGTTAGCATCGGTTAGCATTGCGTTAATGAAACTAACAAATAAAATTGAATTTAAATTTCATATTTTTTATAACGGAATGCTAACAATTATTAATAGTCAACTAATAGAACTAATAGAACGTTATAACCTGATGTTAGGTGAGGGTTATTTTTTTTAATTCATATCGGTGAGAGGCTACAAATATCATAATGTAAGGTAAAGTATTAAACCTACCAATTTTGTAAGGTAAGGAACTAAAACTTATTAACTTTTATAAGATAAAGGGCTAAAACTGTTATATTATAAGGTAAGGAGTTAAAATTTATCAATTTTATAAGGTGGGGGGCTAAATATTGGTTTTGCCACCAAATAGCCTATAGTGACTTGGCCAAACGCACCTAACATCCCTGACATTTCATCTCCGGCTGGCACGCCAGCTGGAAAGCATCAAGCGAATCATTTACATTTCTAATGGTGGAACCAAAATGATTAATACCTTCAAAAATGCTATTCTTATAAATTTATAGCACAATAAATTATTATATAATTATTTTTTAATTAAAATTTATTTTTAATATTGTATATATTTATTAATTTAATATTATATTATATTCATTTAATATTATATTATGGTTATTATGTTATGGTTGTAAATTTATAACTAGATTTTAAAATCATTCTCAAGGCTATTAGTTTGTGTTATACTTTTTAATAATTATTAAATATAATAATATTGATTTATAATTAAAATTAATTTTTAATCAATA